GCCAGGCTGAAAAAATGAAAGCAGCATTCTGACACGTGCTGCAGGTTTTACGTCCTTGTTCTTATAGTAATTGCACAGCTGCTTTCTTGGAATCCAGGTGTTCATTACCAGGTTAACAGAAGCAGTCCATTGCATCATATCCTGAGTCAGTTGAATTTATACCACACATTCTCATCAGAAGTTACTCGTCTTACTGATATGTGTGTCGAACATCCAGAAGCTTTTCATATTTCATATCTTACGCTTTGTAATGTTGCTGTTTTTTTGCTACAACGTTGCTTCTTTCCCCCATCTTTTGGATCGTCATTTAAAACCACATGCAACATTCCTTTCCAGTCATCTTCTCAGGTTGAAGTCCGTCCCGTTCCACTAAACCTGTGGATCTGCTAATTTATGTTTACTCACTGTTCCAGCTCTGCCAGCGAAGTTTAAACCAGAGTGGGCAAGCGGTGTGGGAGGCATCTCTGCACAACTGCCCACCGCTGCGGAATCTGGCAGTGCCTCATGGGCAGCTGTTTGCTTTTGACCCTCCAGGCTCTCATGTGCTGACATGTGGCCTCAATGGGGGTAATATTTATCAGGTATTTGCTTGCATTTTGCAATGTCTCTGTGGAGTAAAAACATTATTCTGGGCGAGGTATTGGTAATACAGCGTGTTGGCCGGTGGATGTCCGTCTAAAATAGTGATAATAGGGCTATGTGATTCGGGTGGTACATGACTCGGCTAATGTAATTTGTCACAAAGGAAAGATAAAATTTGTGCTTCTCCAGCCTTCAGGCTTTCCAATCAAAATTTTATATGCATTTCTAATCTATCCCATGTCTGGCCATCAACTCCTCCTTGATTGGATCACCCTAAGAACATTTAGTGAAGAGTACAAATTTTTATGCTTCATCTTGTGTAATTTCCTCTAGCTTTCTGCTTGTTCCTCTGTTACACCCAAACATTCTCATCACTCTGTTCTCAGTCTGTGCTCTCTTCTGTTAGCGTGGGAGACCACATCAGTTCAGGTGACAGGTAAAATTGTAACAACTTTCTAGTGTTCTCATTTTTCAGAAGCCGGTTTGATCCGCTGTGATGCGGTGGCAGGACACTAAATGTAGAGTAATGCGTCGTTTCATTGTCTCCACACGAGCATTACGTACTTACAGTAACATATTTACAGATTTGTGGAACTGGACTGAATTGCATGTTGGAACTCGGGGGACACAGAAGTCCAACACTTGCAGTTGATTGGGCAATAGCAAACCATTGTGGGACGTGCGTCACTGCATCATCTGGCGATGGGAAGATTAAAGTGTCCACACTTCTGATTCCCTAGTCTCTCATTTCTGGGTTTCACGGATGTAAGTACGTACTAGTGTTCAAAGGCCTGAAACTTTATAAAATATGTGGGTACATACAGGTTACTGTGAAAATTGTGCGTTGCTGCCTCATAGCATAATTGTTGCTTTTCTGTGATTCTTATTAATATTTATGGATGAATATATTTATGTTTCACTGTCAAGTGTGACAGCATTTGCCTGTACATCACATGTAAGTGTTGTAAATGATGTGAAGTTAGCTAATCGTTAAATGTAACGTTCAAAACAAATGCAATATAATTCCGGCTTGAGTTGAGCTTGGTAAGGAATATCAGTGTATTGCAAAAGAATACTGTGCTAATAATGTGGCAGAGCTACCTAGTTAACAGGTCCCTTGGGCAGGACTCCCTCCTGTTCATGCAGGATAACACAGGTCTGTCCTGTCAGCTGTGTCTTTGGAAAATGATTTGCTCTCACTATTTTGTCATAAGTTTTAAGTATCTGAACACATCGTTCTTTGATGTTTGTAGTTAGCAAACTCTAATGGTTTTTCTGTGCATAATAATGGCTGAAGGCTTGTTTGGTTAATGTCGATGGCACAAAAATTGTATTTATAGGGGTCAAATTTTGATTCAGAGTTTGTGCTCTGCGTTTGATCAGGAGTTTGAATTGTCTGGAGAGAATATAGCTTGATCTTAAGTATATCGTGTTTTAATTTCAAAATAGTTTACCGGTAATGTAATGTTTGACAAGATATTACAGAAAGTTTAAGTTTTCTTGTGGTTTTGGGTGGGAAGCAAGTCTGTAGTAATATAATCTAAAGCTTTCCGTAGAATGCGTTTTGGAACTATTTAATTTGCAAAGAAATAGTTTAATCCCATCTCATCTTTAATCTTCTCTGCGACTGCTGTCCAGATGATTTTCTTGCCTATGTTTTGTATTTCATTGTTTCCCGACCTGAGCTGCATGTCCTGTCCGTCCACCCGTACGTTACCACTTCTCTCATCTTCTCATTCTGCATTGTGGCATGTAAAGGTCTGTGACGAGATTTTCTGAAAGTGACATAAAACAAGCTGGAATTTTATTAAAAGTTCTGGTTTGGATATGACCTGTATTTATTTGAACTGAATGTCGCAGCTGAGCGCTTAGCACTTTTGCTACATATTCCGGATGTCCTGGGTTCAGATCTTGATGACATTAGCTGATGCTCATCAAAGGAAATGCTATGTTTTATATTAACAACGTAGTTGGCTACCACAAGACTGTACTTTCATCTTGTAAATTGAAATTGAAGATTTCTCCACTTCTCATGTTGTTCGCTTTTATCAGATTACAGCCACGAGTATCATGTTAGTGACTTTCAGGTTGTGCTGCGTTAACACAGTTTTGTCCTTCACTTTTAGATGAGTGCTGAATAGGAGGGAACTTACCAAAAGTGAACAATTTCATGTTTATATGAGCGCTGTTTCGTTTGAAAGCTGATCTCGGTTACATAAAGAAAATAAGATTCACATTATAGTTGACTTTATTCATGCACAGCCTGTATAAGCAGGTGATAGCTGTGTATACATACATAATATTGATGGTGATTACAGAAGATACATTTTGTATAGCCATTTGATACATCATCAACTGCTCTATGCTGAATGTATAAAATTAATCTTTCATATTAGATATGCACTATTATCAAGTCCATTTCTTGACATCAGCATTAGAAATGTTAGCGTTTAGAATTATTGAATTTACTTTTGCACACACTTAAAACAGTAGAATAACAGAAGGCACATAGAAGATAAGTCTTGCAGTTTGGCGCGGTAATATTAGAGCGGTAGATAAAGTTGTAGCAAAAATAATTAGGCGATTGAAGTACTGGCATAGCAATGCAATTCCATTTTTAATGTCATAGCTCCTATTTGAACTATCGCACACAAACAAATGCAAGAGTATAATGTTGTGCTAGTGTTCCTATGTGGAAATAAGTAGTTTCCTGTATGGAATTTTTATTCTCTGTAGATGTCGTATTTGGAAAATGAAAGATCAGATTGTTATTTATCACCATTTTAACATTTATTTTGGTTTCTGCTGGTGCATGATTTTAACACTCTGTAATGATTTGACGTGTCACTAATAGGACCGTTATTCTGCCAGTAAAATGTAAGACCCATAACACACACTTTTTCTGAAAAAATTAATTAGATCATTTTGGCCTGAATTTCATGATGAAATATTATTTACATCAGGTAACATAATGGTACCTTGTTGATTCTGTCTGCAGTTTCAGCGTCATAAAACAAAGATCTGATATCGGCTTCCTGGTGCTATCATATCACTGCGATTTCTGTGTGTTGAGGGTGCATTTCAAATGTAAAACCCATACAAACGTCTATATAGCAAACAATAAAATGTAAAGTATCAGTTCAGTAACAATATTAGAAGCACCATTTCTATTTTTGCATTTCCTGTGTCTAAGCATGAAGATGCTCTTAGGGAAAAGAGATGGCAGGTGTTCAAGTAACATCATTTATAACTGATGTAGTTGCGTCCCTGTTCGTGCGGACTTTCGCCCGCTCATGTCGTCCTTGACTTGGTCATGGTACCGTGAACCTCGGGCATCTCAATCTGTACCGGTGGTAAGGGCGTTATTGTACCATCCTCCTCGTTCACTCGCAGTCCAATCGTAGCACCAATCTTTGCGCTTGCTTGTCGGAAGCTGTCCGATAGTTTCTCCTGTTCACAGAAAACATCTAGAATATATTTACGTGTGTAAATAGAATTTTGCGTGTGTCCAGTTGTATAAGATATGTGAATATTATAAATATAATTTCCACTCAAATGATACAGTTTCATCTCCTGTTTAAAATCTTTGTATGTTTTTGGATGTGTGAGTAAAAATATATGTTTATTAATTTGTGCTATCTAACACTCGCTGAAGACACTAAATTGGAGTAATGGAGGACAATTGGTGGTGTTGGCTATGCTTAAGGTTCCCCCACTATTCATAATGACTGGTCCAGTAATTAGGCCTCAGTATGATTACTTCATCTTATGTAAATCCCACTATAAAATGTGTGTTCACTCGTTACACTGTTTCTGGTACATGGTTTATTTGTTTTAAAATGTAGTCAAGTATTGAAGTAATAATTCAGTATCAGACGTGTACCTGATGGGGGCAAGATTTTGGAATCATTGAAATGTGACTGCTAATTATAAAACGACTATGCGACGTGGTGGTTAGTATGTGAACTCTTAATTTTAATATAACTGCTGAAGTTATAAAGTTTCTAACTATATATGCAAGATTGCTTTGTTTAATGAATAACATTTGTGTGTATGTGTAGGCTGTTTAGTGTTAGAAAACTGAATGTGGAATTGAATTGCCATGTTTGAGGAATGGTGTAGTATACATGAATATAGTTTTTACTATTAGTAGACTTTTGCACTTACAGGCTGTTATAAAAGTTAAAAATTATTGAATTTGGTTCAAATTCCTTGATACTTACAATGGAAGAAGTTCTTACCTGCACAACATTAATGCACATAGAGGTTAGTGCAAGACCAAATACGAGATAAATGATGGATGCCATCATATACATGGGATGCTGGAATCATATAAAACAAAGTATTACGTTGTGTATGATATGTCTCCATGAGAGAGTCGTGATTATTGCATCTGTTTTTTTTGTAAGTTTGACTAGAATTTTCAGTTATTCGTGAATATCACATTTATTTCAATTTACAGTAACACGTTTTTTAAATTTCCAAACAAAATTCAGAGAACAAACTGAAAATCTTTTTGTATGTGTATATGTACACATATAGGGAAAACTGGAGAGCTCTTTTTGGGCAGAGCAATGGACCTGTTGTAAGACAGAACACTAAATAATAATAATATGTACACATGCAGTAATTTAGCCTCAAGAGGTAAAATGCTTGACATTTTAGAAAAATTCCATATATAAACTAGTAAAAACCAAAACCTCATAAACGAACAGAACGCCCATGACTCCATTGTGTTATTTGACCTAGCAATAAACAGAAAAAAGAAAATTTCATTTGCAATAGTTGCGCCCGCGCATCGTTGAAGGTCACAGGCACAAAGAACGCAACCGCGGCTCGCCATGGACCAACAACGGCCATCAGACCAGTGGACTAATAGCTAAGTGCCCAATGTAACTCTTGTGCAGCCAACATCCATACCATAATCTTTTTGATTTGTATTATATGATTTAACTTGTTTTTTGCCACTAATGATGACCTCTTGAGGTGAGATTAACTGTTTTCAAAATTGCGTAAATGATGTCTTTGCTAGATTCATTAAAGCCAATAAACTCACATTAAATTTTGACAAAAAATTCATGAAATTTTGTACAAACAACAGAACTTGTGTAAATCTAAATATAGGGTATGATGATAAAATAATCAAGGAAGTAGAAACAACTAAATTTTTGGGCTACAAATTGACAACAAAAGGAGTTTACTGTACTGGAATTAAGTTATTCAATAATCTTCCACCTGCTATAAAAAGTTTAAACCACGATATAAAAATGTTTAAGCCAGCGTTAAAAGAGTTTCTCACATCTCACTCCTACTCGGTATAAAAATTTATAAATACATGTAAGTAATAACGGTGATGGTTCTCATCATAATTATTTTGCTGTAGTTCCAAAAATCTGTCAATAGCCATATGTATTTATATCTGTACTAGAAACAAGTATTGCATTTCTGCTATGACCTGTTCAACATCCTTGGCTTAGGCCTGTGAAGGATCTAACTAACTAGATGGCTTACCAAACCCGAAGGTTCATCACCGAATTAACCAAAGCCCTGTCCTGGGCCAACAAAATCCAGTCTCCTTCAACTCCCATCTCCCATCCTGACATTATCCTCCCATCTACGTCTAGGTCTCTCCAGGGGTCTCTTCCCCTCAGGCTTCCCAACCAATACCAGGTGCACACCTCTTGTCCCATCCATGCGCGCTACATGCCCAGCCCATCTCATTCTACTTGAATTAATCACCCTGACAATACTGGGGGAGGATATAAATTTTTAAGTTCGTCATTATGTAGTTTTCTCCATACCCTATCGTCATCTCTCCTAGGCCCAAATATCATCCTCAACACCTGCAATCTGTGTTCCTCCCTCTGAGTGAGTGACCATGTTTCGCACGCATATGAAATGTAAATAAATTCTATTCTATTCTACGAGCTACAAAGTATTTCCGAGTGGCAACTCGGAGGTAATGTTTTTACTGTGGACAGTAGTAAATGCGTTCTTGTCTGCTGCTTTTCACATCCCTCAGTTCCCATTGCCTGTTATATCGGTCCTCGGGAGCACAGATTCTTCGTGACCACGGAACTTTCCTTTCTTGTCGGAGTTTTATGAACTATCCCGTTTGCACGTGCATTCTTTGGAAGCCGGCTTATGTCTTATGACGTATAAAAAGTAGAGTAAGTAGCAAGGAAATGGCGGCTGTTTTGTGCAGTGTAAGTTTTTGTGGTCATATCCAAGAACAATTATAGTTGCGTTCTGTTTTTAGGTGACGGAGGAAAATTTCGCGAGACCTGTTAGGCTTTGTGAGGAAAAAAATAGATATCATGAAATACGTGCAGGAGTTTTGACTGTTTAGAAGCCGTCACAACGATATCGGAATATCGTTTCTGTCTTTTGGTTGTGACGCCGTGTGGCCTTTTAGGTTCCCAAAATTTCGGATGCATGTGTAGACACCATCTGGAGGGTTAAAGTGAACTCTGATAATGGAGGCAGTACGTTCCTCCGAAACGTTGGTAACAACCTACAAGACCACGTGGCGTCACAACATGTGGACCCGCAAATCTGCGACAGTTTTGATGAAAATTAAGGTTATAAATGGACACGAGTGATGTTTATACGAGACGACGCAGTGGAATTTATTACTCGCGAGTGTGTTGAAGTCTTCTGTGTGAAACAAGAAAGAAAAGCAAATGTGCCATGTGAGTAGTGAATACTTTAATTCCCTTTACTTCTCGCTTTTTGCAGATTTGATGAAGTTGTTACAGCATATTCGGTCCACTCTTTTAAGGATTAGGATTATGTCTGTCAGTTGTGAAATCTTGAGAAATAGAAATTGTCTTCAAAATGTTGGTAGAGCAGTCTGCCACAACATTGTGTTGTCAGCCAGAAATGGAAATATGAGTCTGATACCCGTAGAATAACGGGCTAAAATGTGTGGTTGCCATCAAGGTGTTGGGCACATCCGTTAGTTTAATTTTTGTTTGTATTTTATTTTGTGAATATGAACTTAAGTTCTGGAACTCCTTGTTTTGATCTGTAAATTTTCCTGAGAAGAGGCATGCTCCCAGCCCACTAACTGTTATGGTAAATGAACCATAAAGTAGTAATCAAGTCTGTGGTGATCATGCAACAGGCAGTGATGCCTACAAGTGGGGACCGTCTTCTCAAACCGTACACAGTCATCATCATCATCATGGGCACTACTACCCAGGGTGGGTTCTTTTTTTTTCTGGTTTCCAATACTGATGACGTGGAAATCTTTTTCAAGCCCATTCAGTGGGTCTTCCACATCTTCTTGTACCATCAGGTTTTCCTAGCATCAGTTTCTTTGTGGGCTTTTCGTCGTTCATTCGGAGTGCACGTCCTGCCCACTTCATTCTGGAGATTTCAAGTTGTCTCTCTTCGTCCATGTACCATTCTCTTGGATGGGGCCAGAAATCTTCCTTAATCGAGTGCAGAAGTTTCATTTTGAGCACATCTGAGTGTTGGTGGCTGCTCTTTTGAAGGTTTCATGGACTAACTTGTTTGTGTTTTAAATGTTGACTGAGAAGGCGTAATTTATTAATTATTTATTAATGCTACTAGTACTTCAACTGGAAATTAAAATGGCTTTCTGTCTCACCGCAGGGTTTTTGAGAACAAAGTGTCGAGGAGAACATTTGGACGTAAGAGGTGGGAAGTGAAAATGTCAAAATGAGGAGCTTGACATTTTTACCCTTAAAGTAATGTTGTTTGTGAGATAGGGATGCTGGGATGGGTAGAATATGTAGCATACATGGCATCAAGTATTGAAGCAGATGTTGGAGATGTGGGTCGTAACGTTCTGAGGTAGAAGGGCTCATTAAAGGCATTAGTGAACGCTGTGCCCTATTTTAAAGTGTTCATGCTCTGTGAAATTTTACTGTAAGTCACGTGTTTTGAGTCATCTGGAAATGACGGCATTTTCTTGCGGTAGATCCATTTGCCATGCCGTGCCGTGCCGTGAGGCGACACGTGCCATTTGAGTGCCAGATAGGTCTGAGCAACTATAACAGATTTAAACAAATATTTATGTCAGATTTAATTTTTAATTGTATGTTATGTGGCACTATCTAGGCGCATCACGTCACGTTACGACAGATCTATTGAATTTTGCTTAGTACTGAGTCGTAAATGTTGCTTTGTCTGCCATTGTACATGGTGATTTATGTACTGTTATTTTAAACAAGTGTGACTTCTAATGACAAATTCCGTGCAATTAAATGGTACAGGAACAATTTATTTTTAGCGATGCTTGTGTTCTTAAGAAGTTTATATGTTTTGAAATTATGTGAAGCGCGGTATAAATGCGGAACAGGTGTAGAAGAGTTGGTGATATTTAGTTATGTCACACAAGAATTATTTTACTCGTTCACATTTAAAGCAAGGTATTGGCGTCCTGGTGCATTGGTGTTGTAGGAAGTGCAAATGTGTGAAAGAGAATGGAAGTGATTATGCATATTTTGCACTAGAAATTGTATAACCACAGGACACATTCTGGTTCTAGATAAATCACTCCACTGCTGCAGATATTGGATGGTGCTCTACAACATTTGCAAAATTTACGCAGTAAAATTGTTTAAACTTCATTTAATTAGTACTCACGTGACTTATAACTGCAAGCAGAAGCGTACAGAGTAAACACGTTTGTCACGTATCGTATTAGTGATAATCTGGAGGCTCTAAACTACTGCGCAGATGCGTTGCGTGTCCATCGTGATGTAAAAGCGATTGCAAAGTTGAAATGTCTGACAGACAGTTACTTACACTGTTGGACTTTGTACCACAATAGGTGCATGAAAAATGAACAAATGCAGAGTTATCTTAAGTGTACTTAGTAAATAATAAAAAATGAGAAAGTTAAGCATTTTCCAGGTGACACGCTTGTGATATTACATCTGCAGTTAACAGCCACATTAAAAGTTACTGACTGTGTGTACATATCGGACAAATTAACAACCGGCTGAATATCTCAGATGGGAAAACTACAGGCAACTTTATCATAAACTTGGCAATGTACATATTTTACACTGTTGATTAAGGAGGCAAAATTTCATGGGGTCTATGAATTTGTGTGTGAAGACAGTGTATGGTCACGCATCCCCTGTGTGACAGAACTACGAGTGTTCTGAGCATGTTTTATCTGTTTCTACATTAATATGTATTGGGATGAAAAATGGAAACAGTTTTTTGTTAGGCTGACAGTCTGACGGCACAACAATTCTTGATTATATTTCTAATATTTATTAAGAATCTACTGCATGTTTCGACCTTAATTGGTCATCTTCAGGTGGTTCTCTTTACTAATACATGTGACTTCTAATTTGTCTACGCGTTTTCTGCTGTTGACTTCCCCGTGTAATAGACTACTGTTCCTTAAGCAGCGTACTTGCTTTAGTAGAGTGGAGTGTAGTTAACCGGTGGAAAGAGCATCAACTACAGGTTTCCAGGATTACTGTGTTCACGGACTGTCAACCTAGCGTTCGACAGAGAACAGGTTGCATTCCTTGAAACTTGGAGACGGTTTTGTTTTCCATTAATGTAAAGAAGAGAACATACAAGCCCAGTGACTTATGAAGAGAGGCGAAGACTGTCTTGGCATACATACCTTTGGGACGAAGTCTCCAAATCCGATTGTGGACATGGAAATGAAGACGAAGTAGAAGGACTCGAAGAACCCCCATTCCTCCCAGGTCCAGTATATGATGGCTCCCACGAAGATGTATATGACCAAAATGACGATCGCAACGGAGATGGGCAGGTTGAATTCGTCATCGACTTCGAAGGTGCTGATGGCCGGGGTTCCCGGCGGTTCGAGGCCGTCCACGGGCAAGTTGGGCTGCTGCTGTGGGTTCGGGTTGAGGGGAACCTGCAGCTCTACGTCCTCAGGGTGCGCGATGGGGGCGGCCCCTCCGGGCTGACCCACCATCTGACTTGGGCGGCGAAAAGTCGCGAAATCATACACGAGCTGCACGCCCTTCATCACTTCCTGCAACAGGTGAACTGAGTGAACGTTCACGTCCGCACACAGACAGTGGCCACGGTGATTCGTGCGGTCTTCACGCATAAACATCTGGGCGTACATAACGCAACCCTCTGAAGCTGAAGACAGTTTAAATAATATTTAAGAATTCAGTCCGCACCTCAAAGAAAACACCATACGTCATCATTATAAGACTAGCTGGTTGACGCTGTTTAAGGAAATAATCGCCGTTTATAGCGAAAGGAGTTGAACCAGGTGGGTTTTCAGTCTGGAATGAACGTGGGATACTTCAATATTTTTGTGTTTATGTAAGGACGCTTTGTCAAATACGTAGGTTGGCCTGTTTCATTTAGGCCTTTACCTTGGGGGAACTGATACGAACTACGAAAACTTCCCCCATTAACTTGTCGAAGATATACAACAGGAATTACGTGTGAAGCAGTCAGCATATTATTTGATTTTGTCGGAGTGAGAAGTTAATTACGGACTCTGAAACAAGAACTGTTAGGAAAGCGTCGGTTTTGGGGTGTGTTCTCCACAGTAACAGGTTCTGGGTTCTGTCGTCTACTACTGACCTGTACTGGGACAGTGCGTCGCACCTTCTTGCAGCTGCCCGTGTAGTAAACCCGGCGCACGAAGGCCCACACGAACTTGATCCCGCGTGTGAACAGCTTCCCGAAGTCCGCGAGCAGGATCAGGAACATGGGGATCCCGAAGATAGCGTACACGATGGTGATGGCTCGCCCCGTTGTGGTGGAGGGAGAGATGTGGCCGTAGCCTGCGGGCAGAAAGTGGCCTTGAGTTACGACATCGAACACTCGGTGGAAAGGAATATCTTTATACAGGCTGATTCAAAATTCTCTTTGCGCCTGTGGGAGCAACATGTGTTGGAAGTCCGTGTGCACGCCCTAGGTTTCGCTCGTGACTAACCTTGACCATTACCTTCCTTCAACCAGTGCCATAGACGGCGAGGTCGTTGTAGTCTTTATGTTGTTATATATGCAAAGGCACTTTTGGATCACCCTGTATCGTGCTGGCGGTAACAGTTTAGAAGAACCTCCATGAAGATAGCTGCTCCTGGAAGTGGGCACAGTGTTACATGCGCCGAATAAACTCTTTGGTTTCGAACTTTTTTTTTCGCTGGTATAAACTAACCATTAAGATACACGTTTTGTGAAATTGCGAAGTTATCACTGTTAACAGAAGCTTGCCACTGGGCCCTATCCTTCGCCAGCTGAGTCCACTCCGTATCCTCACACCACAGCTTTGAACATCCATTTTAGTGTTATCTTCTTTACGTCTTGGTCTTGCGTGTGGTCTATGCCCTCGGGGGTTTACAAGCAAAATTTCTGTATATCCCGTCTTCTGCTTGCATGCTGTATGTCTTGCTTATCGGATGCTACTTGTTTTTACCTCCCTGATGGCGTGTGACGAAGACTGCATCATTGTGAAGTTCCTTTGCGCAGTTTTCATTTTTTCCCCTCGGTTCTCCAGCACCGTATTCTCAAACACCCTCAACACGGACCGGTAGCTAATAATTTATGAAAGCCAACTTCCCGTATGTTGCTTTTAACTCCGTTCTCTTTAAGTTAACAGGAGCCATTTAATCTTCCTTCGAGGGAATTAATTTCGAGGCGTTGTCATGTATGGGCCGGCCCTTAATCCATTAACAGTAACTTTACGAAAGAGATTATATTAAAGCGCTTCGCCTGCATAATTCTGATTAGAGTATCCTCCTCGTGTGCTACATGTCCTGTCCATCTCATAATATCTGGTCTGATTATCGAAATAATATTCATTGTACAGTACTAAAGATGAAAATATTAATAATGTCGATTTCTCGATTTACCTATGTTCTGCTATTGAGATGACAGTCCAAGATTCACATCCGTTCAAAGGGCATGTAACATTGTAATTTTCTTCTTCTTCTTCTTATAATGTTGCATTGGCCTGTGAGTCGGGAAGATAAAATATTCTGAGGTGCACGTAGCCACGAAGACGTATGGGGGAGTGGAGGTACGTTGCGGTTCGCGGCCAGCGCGTTGGGTCTGGTGCTGAGATTATCGACCAGACAAGTGACTGGTGCAGTGCGCCATGGCGTGGTGAACAGTCGCGTAGACGTCATTTGCTTAACACAGGAAGACGACACACGTCGATGCATCTTGTGATGCAACTGAGGGAGACGACATACAGACGTTTCCTTGATTGATAGAATCGGATGCAAAAACAGTCTGGATGTTTAATCCCGTTTCTATCGATTTATTAAATACCGTAAAATTAAACAATGATTTTAATAGGACAGCAATACATTAAAATCGCCCTTTTTTTCTGTTCAGGTGATAATAATTTGCAAGCCTCGGAGATATCCGCAAATAAGTTATAGTGTCAGGTACGCGGACCACTTTTTGTAAACCGCTGTTCCCACTCCGCAGTTCGGTTTTATTCTTAGCGACCTGCTTGTGGCGTGCCCGGGTGTTCGTTGACAAAGCTCCTTCCGTTATGTTCCGATGAAGTTTGTTAATCGTGTCACTTACCGCTATCCATTAGTACGTGATAGCAGGTTACCACTTCTGTTTGTGGTCCCGTGTAATGGAAACACGTGGTACAAGTGAGTGATGCGTGGGGTTAGACCTACTCCGTGATAAGCATTAAAGGCATCGTGGTGCTTAATTAAGCACAGGGGTTGCTTTAACTTTTATAACTTTTCCTTATTCCGTCCGCCTGCCCCAAGTTACCCCAAAAGTCATTGAACCTTATAAATGATTTTCGGATCAGCTGTCAAGGATTACCAGCAATGGAATTCGACTAAAACACGTAAAAGTAAAGGTTTCCCACTATACACCATGTAGGCGCTTGAGGGGGGAGAGAGAAGGTATAGTTCCTACTCGTTAACCTGGACACTACGCGCTTTACCCTCGGGAAAGGACCCCGGTACCCATTGGGTAGGAGGCTGGGTGAGCCCCAGAGCCGGTATGAACGCAGAGGCTAGATGAAAAATCCTCTGCCCCCGTCTGGGATCGAACCCTAGTGATCTAGTCCATAGTCAGTCACTATACTGACTGAGTAACGCTGTTACATTATTCCAGCTGATGTGTTGGATGTCATCGACGTATATCACTGGTAATAACTGAGGATCACAGTCATGAAGCTAAATGCGTTGTTCCCTGTTTAAGCTGATGTTTGTTTATTGCAAATGTAATTGAATTGTGTCTACACTAACAACACTACGAGTGTCAGGTTGCAGCCAAACACGCTTTTTATCGAATTCCGTTCAGTACGAAACGCGTGGAAAACGATAATGCAAATACAGTTCGTGTGTCACGAACCATCTCTCGCTCTACCGATACAGGAGCCAGCATCCTTACCGATAGTCGTGACGACCGTGAGGCAGTACACCACGGCGTTCAGGAAGCTCCAGGCGCGCTGCCCGCTGTACGTCGTGACGCCGGCCTCGTGCGCCGCCAGCAGCTCGCCCTCCAGCTGCATGAGCTTCCTGCGCGCTTGAGACTTCCAGTCTTGCTCCTGCAGATGGTGGCTCCCGAGCCACAGCGAGTCCACGAAGTCCCGCTTCACCCTCTTCACGCCGCACTTATAGAAAGCTTCGAAGGCGCCCTCCGTGAAGCGAAACACCAGGCCCCCAAGCCCGCAGTAGACGAACATCACCACCAGAGCGCCGGCACACCTATTTCTCTGCGCGATTATCTTCCCCCATTGGCCACTGTGTTCGTTTAAGAAATTCCTCCATTCCTTACGCGTCTCGCGGAAAAACGGTCCCCAAACCGCTTCACGAGCCGGTTTCACGCTTACCTCAGCGGTAGGCACTGAGGAACTTTGTACCGCAACGTCGTCCTTTGTTGTTTCTGCTGGAGACGGCAGCCTTTCATATTCGGGTTCCACTTTCTCAACGCGAACCACCTCTGTGCGTGTCTCGACGCTCTCGTGGACGGCAGTGTCTTCAGGTTTGCCTGTGCGCCTTCTCAGAGCCGACAAAGAGTCGTCAGACAGTTGCTTCCTTCTGGGGGCTGCAATGACCCCAGGTTCTTGCGTCGCACTGGACGACAGTGGCAGGCTCTGGCGACCTTCACCTGGAGAGGAATGGCTTCTTTTGGTCAACAGCGTTTTTTCTGCTGTGCTCATCCTCTTCGTCGGGACAGCTTTAGTTGGAGAGATTTCCGCTTTCTGTTGTGCTGATTCTGTTGGCTCTGTTCCAATTTCTCCCTGTATGAAAGTTGACGATAGGCTGAGTCGTACTTCGCCGGGCGAAGACTGGCTTCTTTTCGTCATTGACGCCTTCTCAGCGGTGCTGCTTCTCCTAACAGTTGTCGATATTTGTGGTCTCATTATCGCGCCTTCGTCGGGATCGGATGACAACTCCTTGGGCGGCTCGGGTGTTGCTGCCCGCCGCCTGTGATCAGACGGACTACGTCTCTTGGAGCTGGAGGCGCCACGGCGTCTCTTGGAGACGCCTCCAGCAGCCAGAACTTGATCTGGTGTCGCCAGTACATCGGTAACTATCGTTCGTTCATCGGCCATGCCGCAGTTTGGATGCGAGCCCCTGCCCCCACGAGTAACACCCAGCTCGCTCACACGCAACGACTACGAGACAGAAATAGCCAGCGAACGGCCCAGACTCCCGCAGTGCGAGGCGTCGAGAGCGACTATCGATTACCCGCAACTCGACGTACGAGTTGATTCTCGCGGCGGCGCCAACGTCCGCGGCGTAGTATTTCGGCGAATGCTCGCTAGAGTGAGCGACAGGGTAACTACAGCACGATGCCAAACTGAGGCTAGTCGATTAAAACAAAAATATTTATATAATATTTCCTGCTGTTTGTTACGAAATTTCTACTGATTAGTGAGTGTTTTTTGAACTGTTATCTTGAGAACAAAAGAAATATTCCACATCGTCCTCTTTTTATAATTTTTGGGCATTTTTTTAGGTTTGAGGATCTTACATTCAGTGGAGCTGGTTGGCATAATTGATGACAAAAAATGTGCAAGGCATTCTAACAAGTTTAGTGAAAATCCATGTTTTGTTTGAGCTGTTGAAAGGGGGAAGAGGTGCTCGAACTAACACGTGGATTTCGTAGTGTCCGTATATGGAAAGTGCATGGATTGTGGCGATCGTGCCGTGGTACCAGCCCTGACCACAAGACTGCAGCACAGGGTAGACTAGACGAAACGAAATTAGATCAGAACTTTGTCGTCTAATTAATATGCCCCTACGCTTAAACTCTTGAGGCCGAAAGTCAATTCAGTCCGCCCGCAAATGAAATCAACGCGTCTCTATGACGACGATCAGTTGGTTAACGCTGTTCGTTGAATTAATCGCTTCCAACACTGAGAATCATAGGAAATACAGAAATATTTCGCGTGGGCAAATTATTAATAATGCACGCGGCACTTGTAGTCACTATTGGGCTGCAAACCGAACTGAGATCCTTTCTTGTTTCTGAAGAGATCTGATGACCCGTACGTGCCGACGGTCAGACGAGACGCAACGCTTAACGTCAGTGTGATGTATAAAATTCGAAGACCGTGAGCAGTTGATGCGAATTTGCCGTTTCCCTGGGGCAATCATATGTTAGGGTAAACGAGACACGTCTCACCAGCTGCGATTTGAAAGAAGACGTTCCTCTCCGCCCACGGTCCAGATGTTCTCGTGCAGGAATCTGTAACCCGCTGGCGCGGCTCCCGTGTACTCTCTGATGGGAGCTGGAACAGGCCCGTGGCGTCGAAGTTCTGTGCGTCTGCCCCTCGTACTTCTTAGCCGTTTAA